GTGCCCCGACCCAAGGCTGCGCCCACCCAGCCCAGGCCCCACGAGCCTCTCCAGCCCGCGGGTGCCCCACCCCGCACCCCCTTGCCCGCGGGCCCCCTGCCGCCGGGACGTGTTCTGCTCCTCGTGGTAGCGGCCACCCGGGGAGTGCCCCTGCTGGCCTCCACCTCGCCGACCTGCGCGCAGCCAGGCCCCCTCCGTGTCCGAGTGACCCTTCCGCAGACCCAGCGCGTCCGTCAGTCCCGCGCACCCGCTTCCCGCACTTCCTGCGCCGCCTCGCGGGCTCGGCGTGAGCCGGGGCGCGAAGCCCCGCGGCCGGCGCGTCCCAGCGCCGCCCTGACGCCGCGGCAGCGTGTGCGTGCGCGGCTGCGGCTCGGCTTTCTGGGGGGCCCCCGGCGGCGAGAGCTATGGAATTGGGGTCGCCCCAGCGCCGTGGCGGCACAGAGCCCGGCCAGCATCGCAGTGCCCCGTGGCCACCGCCTCTGCCGGCCCGCTGCTGCGGCTTAGTGCCACGCGCCCCCCATCCACTGCCAAGCGGCTTTTGGGGCGCTGTTTACTTGGGTCACAGCCGCTTTCTCGTGCACCGGTGAGCTCGCCCCAAGGCCCCTTCACCCACCCGATGGCCCCACACCCGGCTCCCACCTAGACCAGCCAGGGGGCGCGGGGGTGTGGGGGGCCTGCTGGGTCACACTCGCCAGAGCAGCCCCGTGTCAGGTGCGGGGAGCCCCGCAGCAGCGCCTGGCCATCAGCCTTGCATTGCCGGCAAGCGCTGACAGGCCGCCGCCTGGAGTAATGGACAGGCCGCACGCAGAGCTGACCACCGCAGAGCTGACCACAGCCCTACTCCGGCAGGGCGCAGGTTCCCCGGCCCCCACATGGCCTGCGATCCCGCCAGCGTCCCTCAGCCACCTCCAGCGTAGCCCCAACTCGGCGCGGCCCACCCCAGCCACCCAAGGTGGGAGACCCTGGCCCCGGCAGGCAGCCTGGACTCAGGCCGCAGGCCAGCCCAGGCGCTGCCGGGGGCGCCACTCCAAGGTCAGGCCCACAAGCGCTGACCCCAACGGGCCTCGCGCGCTGGCCAGTCTCGGGCCGTGAGAATTGCCATTTATTCCCGAAGTCGCCGGAATCATCACCAAGGAGTCACCAAGGGGCATGAGGGCCGAGGTCAAACACTGATCGAGGGGCCGGTCAGGAGCTGGAGGGCGAGGTGCGGTGGGGGACCCCCGGCTGCCCCTCCCCTTTCTAATGCCACAGGAAAGGGGTCCTCCTCCGGCCAGCGCCCTAGCCCCCATGTCCAGTTTCTCGCGGGAGGCGGGCGGCCGCGGGAAGAGGGTGTAGTGTGAGTGGGCCCCTGGGGAGGGGGCGCCGGGTGGGGCCCGTTCACATGCACTCACAACACTGATCTCGGGGCAGGAAGCGGGCCGGGCAGACCGAGTGCCCCTCGCCCTGGATTATAGGAGGAAAGGGTTAGTGTTGGGGGCCGGGGGGCCAGGGGGCATCGTGGGAGGCAGAGCGGGGCCCCCGCCGAGCGGAGAGATGTATGTTGGGGGCGCCCCAGGGACCGGGGGCACAGGACTGAGGCGGAGCTGGTTCAGGGTGAGCGTCGCTGGGGGCGCAGGCTGGAAAGGGTTGGTGACGGAGGGGCCCGTGGCTGGGGCTCCTGCAAGGACACAGACCTCAGCGCCGGGCAGGGCTGCCCCAGGCCCCGCCCCTGCCCGTAGGCCCCACCCTCCCGGGAGCCCCGCCCCCTCCCAGACTCCGCCCCGACCAGTTTCGCCGCGGGCAGGCGGAAAGGGCAGGCTGGTGGCTCGTAGGGGATTCCGGTGGGAGGAAGCGGGCCTTGCTCCTCCCCCGTGCGGGTGGAAAGCCCCACAGTAAACAGGTTGCAAGACTGCGACTTGGACAGCGATGCCATGGCAAGGCGCCCAGAGGGTAAAACAAATGTGCTCAGACAGACGTTCTGTTTGGATGGTGCAGGCAGCTTTTCTTATCAACATTCGGTAGTCCATTTCCATCGTCCCCTCTCCCGTAAATAAGCTGCCCCCCCCACCGCCTTTTAAAAATTTTTGAACTCTTCATAACTTTTTATTAGAACTAGTGACTTTACAAATTGGATAATAAATTGGGGACAATTGCCGGTCACTAGGCTGTCTGGTGACCAGCCGGGTCCTATCCTATGATGCCTTCCTGTCCACCGGGCCCCAGACCTACCTTTGGTACTGAACCGTGAAAGTCAGATTCCCTTTGGGTAAAGGTGATTCCCACTGTAGAATGTTCTTGAAATTAACTGAATTCACTCTGATGTTCTTAGGAGGTGGCACCATTCCCAGTGCTGTAAAAATAAGGGGAAAGGCTTGCAAGTTATTTTCTTGAAAAGGCTGCCCCAAAGGTGCCCGAGGAAATGGCTGTATCAAGCACCCAGTTTCCTAGGTCAAATGGGCACGTGGAGGAGGGAAGACAAACTTGAGAAACATGTTGAGGGTTCGGGATTTTATTTGAAGAACCACAAGAAGAAATTGCTGGGGGTGGGGGGGTGGGATGTGGACTGAGATGGGGAGTGGGGATCGAGAAGGGTGACTTGGGTTTGGGTGGTGGTAGAAAGGTGCGAGGGGCTGGATAGTGGATTTGGATCAATTTACGGAAGCATAACTGCTAGACTTTCTGATACATTTGGTGTGAAGAAGCAGAAGTTAATATCAAGCCTGGCTGGGAAACAAATCAGATGACTCACTTTAGCTGGGACACAAATCAGACGACTCACTTTAGCTGTACTAGATTTAAATGGTGAAGGAGATGCCAGCAGGAAAGTTAGACAGCTGGATTGAGCCAGGAAACAGATTTATGCTGGAGATAACAAATTTTAAGTTTTTTCTTTTTAAAGATTTATTTATTTTACTCATACAGAACTACAGAACTGGGGTACAGGCCAGAGATGCGGTGGGTGAGAGGATTCATCAGAGACAGAGCGGGGAGCAGAACAGGCAGATCCATGAAGTACACTGCTGAGGGGAGCAGCGGGCGGGTCAGGAGAGGTCTGCCGCGCCCTGTGGTCACCTCCGGGGCAGGCGGGAATCGAACTCATG